GGACCCTGGGTAGACATCAGTAACATCTCCTATGGCAGCTTAGACTTACATAGAACAGCATGTGTCTGGCACCATCCTAAGTGATTTGTGTCTATTAACCTTTAAGACAACCCTGTAATTATTATTCACATTTTACCTTGTGAAAACTGAGGCACAGAGGGGTTCCACAATAAGTAAATGATGAGGCCAGGATTCAGGCCTACGAAGCTGGTTGTAGTTTTCATACCCTTAACTGCTGCCTCCCCTGCCTCGTGTGCACCAAGCACTGAACATTCAACAGTGAAATGAACAAAAACCTCCTGCCCTTCTGAGGTTACTTTCCAGTGAGAGAAGATGGTAGGCAAATAAATAAAATCTATTATCCATATGGTAATAAGTGCTAAGGAGAAAAACAAGGAGAAGGGGAGTTAGGAGTGCCAGGTGACAGTTACAGGTTTAACTAGGATGGTCCATGGAAGACTTCCTTGAAGAGTCATTTTAGCAAGGACCCTTCTTCTACTGTTACACTCCTTTGGGCTGACCCCAATTTATTCTCCTTCTGCACAGCTGGTGGGTAATCTCTCCAAATCACCTGATTATGCTCCTTTCCTGAATCATACCCTTCAGTAGTTCCTCATTGCCTTTAGGACAAATCCAGTGCTCCTGCCTTCGCATATGAGGAGCATTTTGATTTGAAGCCTATATCCACTCCAGTCTCTTCTCTTGCAAGGCCTGATTCTAACATTGTGGTGCCTAGGGCAAGAGTACAAATGGAAGCTCACATACCCTTTGTCTGAATATTTAAAATTAATGTAGCAAGCTAACAAACTGTTAAATGAAACATGTTCTGTCCTTCTACCTTGACAAATATATCTTCACAGCAACCTATGAGGCCAAATTTAAATTTAGATTTGTTGGACTCCTTTGAGCTCCCAGGCCCAAATGTGGCAGCACAGTAGACCAGCCCCCCACTCATGCTCTGCCTGCCTTCTCTCTCCACTCCCCAGTTCAGCTCTGTATGGCAGGGAGCCTCATGCATGCAAGTGAACACCCCAGCTCACACATTTATATTCTAACCACATCCTTGCAAATAGCAGCCCTTTGTCACCCCCTAGGCCTAGGGGTACACATAATGGTGGTGTTACTTGCCCTCGGGAATTGGACCCTGGAAAGAGAGACCCATGAGCCCAGGAGGTAGGCTAAGGGCCTTTTGGGCAGAGAGTGTTAGGGTTTCAGATACTAGGAGCTTGGCCTAGAAGGGGAAGAGGGAGGTGCAGCACAGACTCTATGTGAGTGAGTCATCTTGGCTTCTTGGGGGGTGTGTGGGCAAAAGGAGGGACAGAGCCCAGAATGGGGCCCTCCAAAGCACTCAGAGCTGCACTTTCTTGCATTCAAAGACCTGAACCAGAGCTAATCGCTTCAATTTTCACAATATGCCATGCTGTTTTGCTTCTCTAACTGTGATTTCACATAGACTGCAGAATGGAGGTCATTCACTTAGACTCCTTGCCCTAATTTACCCCATTTCCTCTGAGTCCACTAACTTAATCCCCTCATCTGTGACCCGCAACTCCTGTCCCCAAACAAAAACATCCATACATAGTGTCAGTGTGGTGGCGTATAGTATCATATAGTGACCTGAGCTTGGGTTTTCTTTTCTTTTTTCTCTTTTTTTAAATTTTGAATAGAGATGGGGTTTCACCCCGCTGGCCAGGCTGCTCTTGAACTCCTGACCTCAAGTGATCTGCCTACCTGAGCCTCCCAGAGTGCTGGGATTATACATGTGAGCCAACACACTCAGCCTGAGCTTGGGTTTTCAAGTCAACAGTCCTGGTTTTGAATTTTTGCTTAGCCACTTACTAGTTATGTGACCTTAGGCAAATTTTATGCCTCAATTTCATCTTCTCTCACATGGGGATAATCATACCTAGTTTATGAAGTTATTGTTAGGATATAATGAAATGATAGCCCCAGCATAGAATGAGCACATAGTAAAGTAGTTGTTTCTCCTTTCCCAGCTATGCCCCTTATTTAAAACCAAAGCACACACAAAGCACCTTGGAAGATTAGCCTGTTTCACAGAAAGATGCCTATTAAATTAACTCATAGCACTCAGCTCCTGGGCCTCTTTTTCCATCTCCTGAGTTATTGAGAACCTCCTAGAGAATATAAGTACCTAGTTTCTACTTTTAGTTGTCAGAAATGATTAGTTAATAGGTGCTACTGACCGCCACCTTTGGATGCTGGGATTGTCAACCTCTAGCTCTTGGTAGCAACATGGAATATTTGTTGTTAGGGACAAAGAATTCTCAGGTCAACGTAATTATAGCCACAGAGATGGAATCTGAGGAGCAGGGAAATAAGGAAGACCATCATCCCTAAGGAAAGGCAAGAACCATAGTTAACATTGCCGAACCTGAAATAGGTGGGCATGCAACAAATATAAGTCAAGCTAAACTAAATGATGCTCAGTGAGAAAACCTCTAAATCCCAGTAGCCACTAATTCCTCATAGAAAGATGGATAAAAGAGCTGATCAGGTAATTCACAGAAGAAATATTTGTGGGCCTAAAAGCAATAACTAGTAATCAAAGAAATGAAAATTTAAATATAACACAACTATTTTTAAATGAAACGGGCAACAATTTCAAAAATTCAGTGAGCAGTGCTGGTGAGGATATAGTAAGGGGGGTACTGTTGACCTACCTTTTTGTAAAGCAATCATGAGAATGACTAAGTAAGTTATGGACTACGGCATAAGATGGACTATCACTAAATGCAACCAACAGGTTGGAAGAAATTTTAGACATGAGAAAAAACTGTATATTACAGTGAAAAGTAGAACAGTATATGGTGTGAAAACTATATGCACAGAGAAGGTGGAAAGGAAATAGGCCTAGGTGTTATAAAGTCCTACCATTAGTATCTCTTGTATGGATCTTTGACTACTTTAACTTTTCTATTAATTATAGGGTGTTTCTCTTATAATGGGAAAGAAATCCTGTAATTTAGAAAAAAGTCACATTGCTTTCAGACAAGAAGGTAGAAAAATTATTTATGGAAAACTTTGGCCACTCGTTTCAATAAGTGTCAGAGAAGAAGAGGCAACTCTGTTCCTTTAGGATGCAGGATCTGGGGAGAATACTCAGCCTTTCTCTCATACTAGAGAGAGTTCTGTCCCCTGGGGAATTTTCTGTGTACCAGGGAAGCCTAAGTAAGCTGCCCTTTGCTTGAGGCACACACACAGTCAGGAGCTGCAATCTCTTCATGAGGCTGTAACATTCTCATCACTGGTTGAAATTTGACGATAAAGCCCCCAAAAAGGTTTTTATTTCTTTTTGTGACCTGAATCCTTCAACTGTGGCCTTACTGCCAGCATCTGTAAGTAACTGATATGTGGTAGGCACATATGAGGGTCATGTAGCATACATAGTGGTTTAAACAAGTGCAGTCTGTGAAACGGGAAATTTTAAGTGGAAGACCCTAAGGAAATACTATACTGGTATTTATATTTTAAAATAGGCCAATGTCTATTTTGAATTATAAAATAAATGGATTGGCTTAGAAAAAGAGAGAGAAAAGACCCCTAACTACCCAAACATAGACTTTCTTCCAAACTGACATATTATAACTATTCTGACCTTCATTTTTTTCCTTCCTATTTTCAGGAGTTACAGTCAAAGTTCAAGTGTTTAAATAAACTTTGCTACTAAGTTATATAGAAAGATCTTGATTTATTTAGCCTGCCTATGTCTTGGTTTTCAAGATGGTCACTGTCCCTTCAACTTGCCTTGATTTCAAAAGTTACTCCTCCCCCAACCTCCTTTAACATCTTGAAATACGCATTTCACACTGTGCCTCTTACAATGGAAATACATGAGAAAACTGGTCTGCATCTTCTGTTCCAATCAGTTCCACTCTTGGCTGTCTCTGAGTGATCGGCCTGACTCAGTGACCTGATTTTTTAAGTTGACGTACATTTTAAACTGCAAAGCTGCGCATGGTGGTGCAAGCCTGTAATCCCAGCTACCTGGAAGGCTGAGGCGGGAGGATCGTTTGAAGCCAGGAGTTTTGAGACTATAGTGCACTGTGATGATGCTTGGGAATAGCCACTGTACTCCAGCCTGTGCACATAGGGAGACCCTGACTCTTTTTTAAAAAATGTAAAAAGAAATAATAAAAATGCAAGTAATATATCTTAAATACAATGGTGGTAAATACAGTTATTAATACTTTGTGTGCCATCTCTAATCAACTGGCAGAATCAACCTAGAACCATTCTTTGGTCCAGTTTGGGTTCAGTGGTAAAATGTACCAGTGTCTGTCATTGATGTGGGCACAGGGAAGAACAATACTTCTGTCAAGGACTTTCCATCTCAGGTTTAAGAGGCGACAGGGTCTTTGTCTTTAGAAAACTTGAATTTTAATGGGGAAAACATGATTCATTTTAGGAATAAGAAAAGAAGACAAAAGGTAAAGTGAAAAATCAAACATAATTGTGAATACCCAAATTGTAAACATCACAACAAGTATAGTTGACTGCAGGTTGAGTAGCTCTTACCCAAAATGTTTGGGACCAGAGTGTTTTGGACTTCGGATTTTTCTTTTTTAATGTTTGCATTCTACTTGCCAGGTAAGTGTCCCTAATCCAAAAATCCAAACTCTGAAATGCTACAATAAGCATTTCCTTTGAGCATCATGTTGACACTCTGAAAGTTTCAAGTTTTGGAGCATTTCAAATTTTGGATTTTTGGATTAGGGATACCCAACCTGTAAAAGGAAGGACAAGTTATTTGCCAAGTGCTGGGAGAAGGCAGAGTGCCAGGATCATTGGTCACATGTAGAAAGGTTTTCTGAGGCAGTACAGTTTGAGTTGGGTTTGAAGCTGGCCAAGAGACCTGGTGTGAAGTTGAAAGAGTGATTCTGAACAATGGGAGTGCAGGTTTCCGGGTGCATTTTGACTGTGTACTCCAAAGTCTTAGCTATACAGAGTGACCATACCGACCTCTGACCTTCCCACAGTGAGGACGTGTGCAAACGTGGCTTCACTGTCATCATCGACATGCGGGGCTCCAAGTGGGACCTCATCAAGCCCCTCCTCAAAACGCTGCAGGAAGCCTTTCCAGCTGAGATCCATGTGGCCCTCATCATCAAACCCGACAACTTCTGGCAGAAACAGAAGACCAACTTTGGCAGCTCCAAATTCATCTTTGAGGTGAGCCAGACTTTTCTCTCTTAGCATCTTCTTTCCCTTCCCCTTCTGCCATCCACACATTTCTCACTTCCTCTTCTCCATCTACCATACAGTATGTGACACATCAGGGGCTGAGATTTCAGGATTCCTTGGCCACCACAGCTTTACCATGTAGAGTATGGGGAGGAACAAGAGGCTCACGAGATTGTCCCAAATGTACACCTTCATTAGACAGTCTTATTTACTGTCGATGGTTGTGTAAGTTGAGACAACTTATTTCTGAAGGCAACTTTGCAATTTGTATCAAATATCTTAGGAAGAGTTTATGTCCATTGATCTAGCAATTCTTTTTTTATTGCTGTATCATAGTTGTACATATTTTGGGGTACATGTGACATTTTGATGCCTGTATTCAATGTGTAATGATCAAATCAGAGTAAAAGAGATGCCCATCACCTAAAACATTTATCATTTCTTTGTGCTAGAAACATTACAATTCTTCTCTTCTAGCTATTTTGAAATATACCATAAATGATTGTTAACTGTAATTTCTCTACTGCGCTATTGAATACTAGAACTTATTTCTTCTATTCTTCTATTTAGCTTCTATTTCTATACCTAGTAACTAATTTAGGAAAATACTCTTTTTTTTTTTTGAAATGGAGTCTCATTCTGTTACCCAGGTTGGAGTTTAGTGGCATGATCTTGGTTCATTGCAACCTCTGCTTCCCAGGTTCAAGTGATTCTTCTGCCTTAGCCTCCCAAGTAGCTCAGATTACAGACACCTGCCACCATATCCCGCTAATTTTTGTATTTTTAGTAGAGATGGTGTTTCAATATGTTGGCCAGGCTGGTCTTAAACTCTTTACCTCGGGTGATTCGTCTACCTCAGCCTCCCAAAGTGCTGGGATTACAGGCGTGAGCCACTGTGCCCAGACTAATTTAAAAAAATAGGCTTAATACAAAATTTCTACAAACAAAACGTAAAAAGCCAAGTAAAATTGCAAACAAAAAATGTTTACAAGAATGTTCATCATATGTTCCTGTACAATAGTATATGTACCCATGTACATAAATATGTATACATATATAGTACATATACATACATATATAGGTTTTATCCTTATGAGCTATTAATTTTGGTGACATTAATACACAAATACTGGCTGGGCATGGTGATTCTTACCAGTAATCTCAGCACTTTGGGAAGCCTAGGTGGGTGGATTACTTGAGGTCAAGAGTTTGAGACCAGCCTGGCCAACACGGTAAAACCCCATTTCTACTAAAAATACAAAAATTAGCTGGGCATGGTGGCCACACCTGTAATCCTAGCTACTCCAGAGGCTGAGGCAGGAGAATTGCTTGAACCTGAGAGGCAGTGAGCTAAGATTGCACACTGTTCTCCAGCCTGGGCAACAGAGTGAACCTCTGTCTAAAAAAAAACAAACCCATTCAAAAGTGGGCAAAGGATATGAACAGACACTTCTCAAAAGAAGACATATATGAGGCCAATAAACATATGGAAAAATGCTCATCATCACTGGTCATTAGAGAAATGCAAATCAAAACCGCATTGAGGTATCATCTCATGCCAGTTAGAATGGCAATCATTAAAAAATCTGGAGACAGCAGATGCTGGAGAAGATGTGGAGAAACAGGAACACTTTTACACTGTTGATGGGAGTGTAACTTAGTTCAACCATTGTGGAAGACAGTGTGGTGATCCCTCAAGGATCTAGAAATAGAAATTCCACTTGACCCAGCAATCCCATTACTGGGTATATACCCAAAGAATCATAAATCGTTCTATTATAAAGACATTTGCACACGTATGTTCGTTGCAGCACTATGTACAATAGCAAAGACCTGAAACTAATCCAAATGCCTATCAGTGATAGCCTGGACAAAGAAAATGTGGCACATATACATCATGGAATACTACACAACCATAAAAAATGATGAGTTCGTGTCCTTTGTAGGGAGTTGGATGAATCTGGAAACCATCATTCTCAGCAAACTGTCACAAGAACAGAAAACCAAACACCGCGTGTTCTCACTCATAGGCAGGTGTTGAACAATGAGAACACGTGGACTCAGGGAGAAAAGCATCACACACTGGGGTCAGTTGTAGAGGGCTAGGGGAGGGACAGCAGGGGGTAGGGAGGGATAAGTGGAGAGAAATGCTGGATATAGATGAAGGGGGAATGGAGGCAGCAAACCATCTGGTTATATATGCACCTGTGCAACAACCCTGCATGATCTGCACATGTACTCCAGAACCTAAAGTACAATTTAAAAAAAACTCCACAAATACTATGAAGCCATTAAAATCCATATTTAGAAAAATAGTATTAAAATTTTTTATTGTTCAGTAAAATGCAGGTGTTAATATGGCGAGTATAATCTGAGATTTGTTTTTAAAGTGTATGCCTGGAGAAGAAGACTGAGACATGTGAAGAAGTTAGTGATGGTTCATTCCAGGTGACTGGTTTATTCTAGGTGACTGGATAATGGGTGGTTTTTATTTGCTTCATATATTTTTATTTTTTTCATGGATGACGTATTACTTTTACAATCAAATAAAACATGTTGTTTTTAAACTAAATTTTCTAGAGGGTCCGTGTTTCCCCTGAGAATTTTTAATGACAATATATCAGATTAAATCAATGATTTAAGCATCTTTGTTGCAGCCAAATTTGAACTGTTCTCTTGCTCAGAATTCCAGTGCTCATCTGCAAGGGGACGAACTTTTAAATGTGTGTGTGTTGAAAACGCAGAACTGCTTTTAATCTCTAGCAGCTTCCCATTCCAGACTTTTGTGCCCTGGGGGCCAGGAGCACCTGTGTGTGGTGTCAAATAGGCTGTGATTTGAGCACAATGACCTGACACTTGATGCATGCAATTCTCACTCTATGTAAATAATAAAAGAAATTTGGCTTGGTATAAAAACAGTGACCTATGATAGTCTCCCAGCACCCCTCCAGAACTCTAGGAGTTCTGTAGGGAAATGCATTTTATATTTTGGCTTGTTTATACAGAGGTGATGACAACAAGCCTATAAATGTATAAGCTGAAGAGACTGAAAAGAATCTTTTCAGTAAGTCTTGATACTTCTGCTTCAGCATTTCTGGCCTGCGTGTCCCATCTCTCTGCACCTCCTTCACTCTAAGTTGAGCAAGCTTGTCTCTGCCTCCTAAATCAGAGGTATAGGAGAGATAGCTGGGGGCCTTCCAATCAAAGGAATATTTATAAGGCAATATCCTAAGAACAGCGAGTTTACTGCTAAGTGCAGACTGGGGTGGCAAGTGATACAGAGATGAGAGTATAAGCTTGTTCAACAACTTATACGTAATTGGTAAGTATAATTATGGCGGACTTCCCGGAAGTGGTAAACTTTGAGCCATATTTGAAGGAGAAAGTATTTTAGACTAGGGTTTCTCAAAGTTTAATGCACACAAATCTCCTGGGGATTTTGTAAATGCAGATTCTGTCTCAGTAGGTCTGGGGTAAGGCCTAAGAGTCTGCATTTCTAACAAGCTCCCATGTAATGCCAGTACTGCTGGTTTGAGAGCTTTGCTTTGAGTTGCAAGGATGGAGATTAGCAGGAGTTTGCAACTCTAGCTGAACATTAGAATCACCTGAAGGACTTTTAAACCTACCCATGTCCAATCTCCCATGTAGCCAATTAAACCAAAATTTCTAGGGATGGGGTTTGAGCATTGGTATTTTTACACACTCCCCAAAGGATTCTAATGATCAGACAAATTTGACAACTATTGTTCCAGACCAGCCTTCCTGCTCATGGCAACTCCTTCCTTCCTCTTAGGAGAGAGGTAGAAGGAGAAGGGACAAAGAGGGGATGCTCAGAGAGTAAGTAGCAAGACATAGAGAGATAAATTGCTTTTCAGGTTTTGAGTAATGATGCAGCCTTCAGATCATCACAGTGAGCACAAACAGGGATTGAGCATGTGCTCCATGCTGTGCACCCTGTGTGCGTTATACACATTGATACATTTAATCCCAGCAAGCCCCATGAGAAAGGAATTATTATCTTCATTATACAGAGGAGGAGACTGAGGCTCTGAGACCTTAATAGCTTGCCCTGGGTCACACAGTTAGTAAGCATATGGCTGGGACCCAAACCCAGATATTAATTTGCTAGCCTCTCATTCTTCATAAGAAAGAAGAGAAGCCTGAAGGCCTAAAGGAAAGAAACGATTTTTACTGATAAACTGGGGTGGTTGCCTGCATCATCACTTGCTGGAGACACTTTGCTTCCTGGAGGCAAACATTCTCCACTCTGCTCTCCAGGAGCTTGTAGGGGCCTCACAGAGAAAACCAAGGGCCCAGACTTGCCTGTTGCCCATCCCTAGTTCTGTTTACTGTACCACAGAAGAGCTATCAGGGAGAGCCTTGGAAAAGATAAGACTATGAAATCCTTACAGCCCAAGCATTGGCCCATGTTGCTTAATCCAACTTATGATGATACCCTTATATCATCATGCCCATGATATAAGGGTAGCATCATGGGTCCACCAGCCTTGGTTTTAAAGCTGTAGAAAACTGTCTCCCAGAAACTAGGTCAGTTTTTTTCCAGCTTCTGCTTCTAGCATCTGAAGCCCTATTGAAGTGAATTTGGGGTCAGGAGGAGGGAAAATGAGGAGAGTGGGGACACAGGCAGTTCTTCTGGGGTGGTAAATGGTGGGCAGTTGGAGAGGCTTGCTGAAGCAGTCAGCAGTCTGTAGAAACTGCTGATCCTGACTGATCTGTGAATTCTGACCAGTGAGTCCCATGGTCTCTACTCACCCTTTCCGAGGCTCTGGTCATTATTATGTGGACTTACCTTGTCTTTCCCTCCTCCTATTTCTGTCCTGTTCTTCCTCCAACATCACTGAGTATCCTTGTCTGTGTCTGCCCCTTCCAGACGAGCATGGTATCTGTGGAGGGCCTCACGAAGCTGGTGGACCCCTCCCAGCTGACGGAGGAGTTTGACGGCTCCCTGGACTACAACCATGAGGAGTGGATTGAACTGCGGCTCTCCCTGGAGGAGTTCTTCAACAGCGCCGTGCACCTGCTCTCCCGCCTCGAGGACCTCCAGGAGATGCTAGCCCGGAAGGAGTTTCCTGTGGATGTGGAGGGCTCTCGGCGGCTCATTGATGAGCACACACAGCTCAAGAAAAAGGTGCTGAAGGCCCCTGTGGAGGAGCTGGACCGAGAGGGGCAGCGGCTGCTGCAGTGCATCCGCTGCAGCGATGGCTTCTCAGGACGCAACTGCATCCCAGGCAGTGCCGACTTCCAGAGCCTGGTCCCTAAGATCACCAGCCTCCTAGACAAGCTGCATTCTACGCGGCAGCACCTGCACCAGATGTGGCACGTGCGCAAGCTCAAGCTGGACCAGTGCTTTCAGCTGCGGCTCTTCGAGCAGGATGCTGAGAAGGTAGGAAGGGAGCAGGTTAAACCCGAGCTGTGTTGGGGGTGAGGGAGCAGAGGTTGCACATCCAACCTTCTGATTAATAATAGCACTTTTCTGGAAAGCTTTAAAACAGTGTGCCTGCTAGTTTTAGCTAGTATTAGCTAGTATAAGTTTTTTGTTGTTGTTGTTTGTTTGTTTTTTTAGCTAGTGTAAGTTTTTTTTTTTAAAGCTCACCCTTATATAGTATTTATTATGTGCCTGGTATTGTTCTAAGCACTGTGTGTAAATTTACTCATTTTAATCCTTTCAAGAGTTCTAAGAGGTAAGTGTACTATCATAATCACATTTTACAGATGAAGAAACTGAGAGGTTAAAGAATTCAACAAACTGGGAAGTGTAGTTTGGCTCTAGGGTCCATGCTTTTACCTACTGTTAGATACTGTCCTGAGTGCCTACAATGAGTGGCTCAAGCCAGCTAAGGAACAAAAACAGTACTGTTAGCCGCCACTGTAATATTAATTGGTGATTATGGTCCTGCAATGTATTTTACCATTGACAAACTACTTCCACACAGTCTTATTTAATCTGCATAATCCTTTGATCCCTACGGGTTGAGTGGTGGCATCTCTCTTGACATTCAGGGAAAATGATGTTCTTTGATCTTGGGGCCTACAGTGACAGAACTGACATCTGAATCCAGCGTTTTTCTGTTTCCAAGTCCAGGGCTCTTCTTGCCTTACCCACTTGTTTCCAGAGATTTCTTTTCAGCTGCTAAGCACTTTCTTGAGTAAGGCAGCATTTTTTTTTTTTTCAGCAATGAATTTTCAAAGCTTTCCCCTTATCAAGGGAAAGTAAAATAGGAGAATGTAAAAAAGGAAAATGGCATATACTGCCTCTTTGCTGAGGACAAAAGATATCTTCCCTAGATTCTCTTTAAGCTAAGAGAAGAAAGAAGAGTTTACTATTATATACACTTTAAGAAGAATAAAATAGGCTCTCCTCCTATCAGTTTTCTGGATGTAACTTACATTTAAATGCACAATACTATTCTTAGGGATGCCATGACATCTTTTAGTAACCTGTGAATTTTACAAATAGTGTGTGATATGATGGTTTTCTCTCTGTTAAGAGCTCATATTGAAAAATGTCTCCAGGAATTTTTAAGTGATGAAATCGAGATCTTAAACTCTCTGTGTCACTGTGATCCTAATTTATGTATTAAATATAACTGCAGGAAAATTTACCAGAATGATAATAGTTTTGCTTCCTAGAGGCAGGCTTATGGTTGACTTTAATTTCTCTGTATAATTTTATAATGTTTTCTAATCTTTTATTATATATAGTAAAAGAAAATCAGTATACGCAGGTTTTTAAAAAAATGTATATCCCTTTTTATATACCTTTTGAATATGATTTAAACAAGTTTTGGGAACTTCTGACCTTTCTCGGGCCTCTTTGCCCAGTGGCCTGGCAGCCTGGGTCTGACCCTGGCCTGGCTTGCTCTGCAAATGGCAGCTTAGACCTCAGAATTCCTACACTGCTCACCAAGTGATGAGATGCCAGGACAGGAGCCAGCTGTTCTGTGGAGCCAGAATCAGGTACTTTGGCTCTGTTGCCAGTTTTGGAAAGATCTGGAACATCTCTTTTTTTTCTTGAGGCCAGTTTTGCTCTGGAGCAGGGAATCTACTTTGTAGTCTGGCCTGGGTGTCTGTTTCAGTGAGCAAGGGACAGAAAGGGAGGTGGGGGGACTTAGATCTGCCTAGACATGTTTTAGAGTTTGGGGGACTTCATGGTATCCCTGAAACTCAAGGAAATGGTAAGCCTGCATAGGGCACAGATAATGCCTGCCTCAAAAACCAAGCAAACAGTATACCATAACCTCAGAAGTTCCCAGGTCAAGGAAACTGCCCTTCTAAGGCCAGCTAAGTTCCATTCAACAGGGCAGTAATTGCTGTTACACATATATTCCCTTAATTCATGCTCATGAGAATCATGTAGTATATGACAATTACTATTTTACAGTTGAAGAAACAGAAACTCAGAGAGGTGAACTGGCTGGCCCGAGGTCATACTGTTGGTTAGCCAGGGCCAGTGTTTTAGTCTGTCTCCGAAGCCCATCCAAGCTCTTATCCAATAGCCCAGCTATCTCTCTGCTTCCAGAACCTGCCTCCTGCTACCACTGAACACCACCTGTTAGCCCCTAGGTCTCCTGGCACATGCCCTGATGACCCTAGAGAAAAATCTCAAATCCTACCTTTTAATGCTTATTCCACAACAGAGGCTCGCTCTGTGCCATGGACTCTTTTCATCTGGTGAAGCCAATGGACCTCTTCTCAAAATAACATTCAAAAATGTACAAAAAATATACATAGGCTTGGAATGCAATTATTTAAACACAGTTATTTGTAGGAACAGAAAACCAAATACCTCGTGTTCTCACTTATAAGTGGGAGGTAATCATTGGATACTCATGGACTTAAAGATAGCAACATAGAAACTGGGGACAACTAGAAATGGGAAGGAGAGAGGGGGCTAAGGGTTGACAAACTATTGGGCACTACACCCAGTACCTGGGTGATAGGATTATGCCCAGGTAATAAACCTGCACATGTATCCCCTGAATCTAAAATAAAAGCTAAAAATAAAGAAATACAGTTGTTACATTTAAAAAATAGCAGCACTATATGTACTTCTTAATTAACATGCTAATAAGATCTACTTGAAGTCTAATAACTACCATAATCCTGAAGTAGTGATGCACATAAATAAATGATGTTTCAGGGCAGCATCGCTGATGTGATTTGAAAATGCGTGTGTTTCTATTGGAGTCAAAGACACTAGCATTGCTAACACTAATGCAGTTTGTTGACTGTATTCATAATGGAAGAGAATGCTATATTTTGGTTAGAGGTTTGTGAAAATGAAGATACAATTTTTTTTTCTATCCAAGTATATGATCCCTGAATTCTATCCATGAACCCTAAGTTTAGAATGCCTGTTGTGTGATGCGCTCATACCTTAAAAAGGAGTGTGGGGGAGTGTGTGCATGTGCACGTGTGTATGTTCATGCATGTGCATGGGAGTGGAAGGGCGGGGAGAGAGGGAGTGAATATTCAAAATATAACAAGGGAGCAAAAAGGAGGATAGGATGAGAGCAGCCCAGGAATATTTTGAGGCTGAGTCAGTGGTGAAAATGCCACTCAAGCTTGACCCAGCTGCCACTGAAAATGTGCTGAGTGTTGGACAGGCTAGACAAACAGTCCTTTTAAGTTGCTTTAAGATTAATTTAAAATATCTGTGCAGAGCTAAGTGCCTCAGCCTTTGACTTATTTGGTGGCTTTGGAAAGGGGTGAAGTGGGTGATGGTTTGAAATAAGGGCTATGAGTGTGGATCCACATCTAAACAAGGGCTTGAGGAAGTAGTTACTGCCTGAGCCAAGTCTTAGCCTCCCTTCTGGTGGGAGGCTGGTTGGCGGAGGCCTCTAATTCCAGATCTGGGAAGCTCTTGGCATTCAGAGGAGTCTGGTGATAGTTCAGCCTCTATTTTTGTAAAAGGGGTGGGCACAGTCTCACCCCTGGCCTTGCAGGGTGACAACTTGTTCCCAAGGGCTTGAAAATGAGTTGATGTTCTCCATTTGCCAGCTGGCCTTGCGGAGTGAAGCTGCCTCTCACCTCTTCCCATGATGCCTCTGATGACCCCCCACATTTCCCATCTAGGAGGTGCTGGGAACTGGGCCATGCTCTCTCCCAATTAAGTATGGAGTAGGGCCTCTGTTCCACAGATAATTCATAAAGCAAGTCACTCATTCATTTAATAATCAGTGTTGAACAGCTGTTGTGAGCTCCAAGCAAGGGTAGGTAGGCCAGAAGTTCTGTCTGGAGCAGCTTGCCATCTAATTAAGGAACTGAGCACATAAGCTTCTGTGTATTCACTTATTTACTTTTATTTTTAAAAACAGGTTTATTGAGGTATAATAGATACATAATAAATGGCACATATTTAACATATATGAGCTGATGAGTTTGGACATGTGCATACACTATGAAACCATCAAGGTAATAGACATAGCCATACCTCCAAAGGTTTTTTGTTTCCCTTTACATAGACTCTTACTTATTGAAGACTTTCTGTGCACCCTGTGCTGTCCTAGGCACAGCCTCTGTGCTTGGAGGTTTAGAGAAGAGCAAACACTGCAGCTCAGGAATGACAGGAAACTCTTAATGATCAATCTGTGGAAGCACAGAGTAATTCAGAGATAATTCAAACAATGCATAATATTAGATGAACCACTGCAGTCTTGGCCGGGCACCCTCTGGTCTATAACTAATGGGCTTGTCCTCTACTGTATTCACAGAGCACAAGCTGGGTGGCTCCTCATTAGCCTGGTGCAGATTAAGGCTCTCTGTGCAGCCCTGTTTCACATCCGGTTACCCCGCCAGTTGCAGTAAACCCTGTGTGATGAAGGGTCTGCCCTGCAAACACAACTTTTTACTGAAGAGAAGGGATGGGCCTCTTCCCTACTGGGGGCCATGTGTGGTCTTAAAGGTCATTAAGTAGACTCATTGTAGATATGCCTTTGGAAAAGGGAAGGGTGAGTGCTGTTTAGTGGAGTATGCTCCCCACAAACCACTCTTCCTGGGTGCCTAGCACACATCTTACAATGACAGAACTGGATGCAGCCTGGAGGTCCACACGCTGGAAATCTCAGCCTTGCCATCTGATGACACTCATTAAAACCTTGTGATTGCTATGTGCTGATGCCAATAATAAGTATCAGAAGATACTGAAACTTTCACACAGTCTGCCTTCTGATCTGGGGAAGGCCCTCAATCTTCCAGTCTTTTCAGGGAAGGAGCAGTACTTCGAAGAGCTCTGGTGCATAACTAGAATTAACTGATTGAGAAATCTTTGTCTACTTAATTTCTGCATAAAGGAAGCTCTATCAATGTCTACCCAGGAGACCTATTTTTCAGTCTTGCCCAAAACTATTCTGGAAAGGAGGAAGATATTCTCACTTTGGGTGAATCCCCAAAAGAGTGAACAAAGCTGGCTAATGAGGCTTCC